ATGACCAACCGATGAGCATGGACCCAACTGGTGGAGCCGATCATTACAACAATCCGGACAAAGAGGGATATCCAGATTGGACAAACAATGTTGAACGAACCAACAAGATTGGAAGCCATCAGTTTTATAAGAGCAAGAAGTGAATTTTTGATTGACTTTTTTACTTTTTGTAGAGCTATTGTAAGTGCACCATTTATGAATTCCTTTTAATTGTCTGATTGCAATGTTACCCATCAATTTATCCAATAAATCCAGAAGAAAGATTTCATGACGGTGAGCTTGTGAAAACATAGGTTTGTAAAACATGGTAGGTTTGTGAAAACATAGGTTAAAAGGTTAAAAGTTAAAAAAAAGTTTGTAAAAAGTTGTAAAAAAGTTTTTTGGAAAACATAGGTTTGTGAAAACATAGGTTTGTGAAAACATAGGTTTGTGAAAACATAGGTTTGTGAAAACACACGTGAACAAAGCATTGGTGAGATAGATTGTTGCTTTAGCGTTGTTGAATGGTCTCCTCTCATGCCCATAACTGAAAAGATCCAGCCCTCCTATACCTTGAACTAAAAGAACATTGAACAGAGCTCTCGTTAATGGACATATTAAGGAAAATTTCCGTAAGCATACGTCTAGTTTCTATCCAGTTACAACAAAGACATTTTAATAGACAACATTTCTCTAGACAGATAATAATCAGATGTTTATGTGGAGTGTGACTGCTCGCTTCTCACTCAATGACGAGTTCGGGTACCGGGGTAAAAAAAGAAAAACAAAACATTAACTCAATGTTTTGTTCGTTTCTTTTTTTGCATAAAAAATTCTCAATCAAAAACACGATAAATTCATTTGAATCGAGCCATTTTCGCAGAAGCCGATTACAAAGATTTCGTACAAATCTAGCGAAAAAATTTCATTCGTAAACGGTTAGCGAAAAATTTCGTTCGTTAACTGCTGAATTTCGTAAACGGCTACAACATATATAAACTAATTGAGTATCCAGTGTAACGTGCTTTATCTGCTGTGAAGCCTTTGGTTTTATGCTTAACTTACGAAAGAAAAAAACACGTTTATCGTCAAGAGGTTCAATGTCGATAGCACGTAAATGGAAACAATCAATTGAAACAACCATTTTCAGAAAGAACACGTCAAAACACACAATTTCAAAACAAGCGATCCGACAAATTGATCGAAAAATGATCAAAAACGAGAGTCAACTGAGATCAGAGAAATGTTTTTATTAGCCGTTTCCTTGTGCAAAAGTTACTAAGCCAACACCCTGCTCAATATGAGCTGTAGGCTGTTTATGCTTTAAAAGACTTCAAAACTAGTAAAAATTTGTATCCAGTGTTTTTCTGGCTCCAGCATCTCAAATTTGTCCTGGATATGGTAATTAAGTGAAGCTATGTGCTCGGTTGGCTATTTTAGTTGGTGGTCAATAGTCGGTTGCCCAATATAGCTTTTTTAGCTATATTGGCAGACGGAAATGAACGGAAAATGTTGTTGAGAAAGCCATGGACACCAATTTTCATTTCAACATACTCAAATTCTTACTTTTCGGAGTAGAATCATGGTTATTTAGTATTCGAAAACAAACAAAAAGTGATTCAATAATCCATTTCAGAGCATTTAAAACCCCCATTTTAAGCTATTTTTAGCTATTTTTATTAGTAAATTGCCGTGAACGAAAACGGCGCAGTCAAGCGGAAAGCGGCTTGGTCGTCAGCTTGTTAAAAACTTGTTAAAAACCATAAATGTATTACAGAAAAAGAAACATGAAAAAGGCTTCCCGCTCGGAGATGCTATTCATGAAAGTAACCAACTAAATCATTCAATTTTAGTAAAAACGTATTTAGATGATTACGTCATCACTCTTCAATCTAATTTTTCTAATTTTCTTTCGACTAATCACCATCATATTAAATTTCTTTTTCGGCTAAACGTTTTTAACTTTACTTCAACTATTTTTTGAGGGTACTTTACAATTTTGTGGACAGGTTGAGCAGTTAAAGTGTTTTCGAACCTTGAAAATTCAATTCAACACAGTGTCGATGATTTTCTTACAGAAATCAAAGGAAAAGCACTCAAATCCTGGGATGGATCAATCACTCAAACTCGCTCCAAGACAGGACTGGATCAGGCTGGAGGCTCATCCCCTCAGATCCGACGAGCTCCGCCCCGTTTGCGGCATTAGAACCAGTTCAAATGTTGTTGTTGTTGTTGTACAACTCTTAATTAATTAAAAAATGTTGCTTTGTGAACAAATAATCCATTATTTTCATTTATTAAAGATCATTCGAATATTACAGATTTACAGATTACAGATCATTCAAAGAAACTCGAGTTTTACGGCCTGTGGGAGCCATCGAGACGACGGTCACTCCAATGTTCCTCCGGGCTCGTTCTCGTGGTTTACGAAGAAAGACAATGCATATAATACTGAAATTTCTCATATAAAGGTCTAGATTAGATCTGCACCTAGCTAGCAGATTGAAGAGCAACGATTGATTGAAATCTCGTAGTCCATCCCAGATTGTGAGCACAGACCAACCCCAAAAGAAGTATAAGATGATGGCAAAAAATCACGGTGAGAAGCGAGTTTCCCAACATCTAGAAAATGGTTATCAAAAAAGACAAAAAACATTTAAAAACAAAAAGTGGTCATCGGTTTGAGTCTGGAGAAGAGTTTCTCGTTGATTTTTCAAAGCTCATCTCGGTGTCAGAATTGGTTTTTACCTCAGACGCCACACAACAAGAAGAAGTTCGTTTTTTTGATGATTTTTGACTGGCTGTTGTAGTTGTAACTGGATAGAAACTAGACATTAGTATGCTTACGGAAATTCCCTTTAATATGTACATTAACGAGAGCTCTGTTCAATGATCTTTTAGTGAAGGTATAGGAGGGTTGGATCTTTTCAGTTATGGGCATGGGAGGGGACCATTCAACAACGCTAAAGCAACAAAATAGCTCACCAATGCTTTGTTCACTTGTGTTTTCACAAACTTATTTTTTCACAAGCTCATGAAATCTTTCTTCTGGATTTATTGGATAAATTGATGGGTAACATTGCAATCAGACAATTAAAAGGAATTCATAAATGGTACACTTACAATAGCCCTTACAAAAAGTAAAACGTCAATCAAAAATTCACTTCTTGCTCTTATAAAACTGATGGCTTTGAATCTTGCAAAACAAGAACTTTCGTTAGAGGTTCTCAATCACCCCATGAATTCTCTTTCATTAAAATGAAGAGAATTCATGGAGAAACTGAGATAACTGCTTATTTCCCAATCCAATTTGGTTTTTTCAACAAATTTCTGGTCAAAATAGCTTAATATTGTGTGATTGTATGGCCTTATCTTGCAACTCCCAGTGCACCACTCCCTCCATAACCCAGAAAACGCAGAGCATAAACTTCTTCTGGTGCAAATCCGGCTTGGGGTCACTTTCGGGTTTCTCGCCTGGCCCCACCCATTGCCGCCCATCTCTCACGATACGAAAGAAATCTTTTCTTTCTCGAATTGTGACAGGAGATGGGAAATGGGTTTTATCTGTGAACTTTTGGAGGAATTAAGCTGTTTTGACCAGAAATTTGTTGAAAAAACCAAATTGGATTGGGAAATAAGCAGTTATCTCAATTTCTCCATGAATTCTCTTCATTTTAATGAAAGAGAATAGATGGGGTGACTGAGAACACCTAACGAAAGTTGTTGTTTTGCAAGTCTTTCAATGAAAGTTTATCTGGCTTTTTGCAAGAAAATTCAAGATATAAAAGGTAGTTGAAAAATCAATTTCTATTACCTACTGGCTCAAACTGGGCGTTATTCATTTTACTTTATTAAACCTCACTTAAACCTCATTAAACCTCACCTCAAATTACTAAGATTTAGTTGTAAACGTTCTTCTTTTCCAACCAATGAAGGCTCAATTAGTCATGTTATTCAATTGATATTTAGTTTTTTTTATTTAGCTGTACATTTTTAAAGCACAAATTCAAAGCACACCTTGGAAAAGCCGCAAATAGTACCAGTGGACAGTTAGTAAAGGCATTAGCAAGGGATAGTTCTAAATAATGTTTAACTGGCTTAACTGCTAATCGAACTGCTAAACTGCTAACTGCTAACTGCTAAACTGCTAATCGATTGTTAATTTGAATTATTGGGTTGGGGAGAATGAGTCGGCGCCAAACTTTAAAGGGACTTTTTGCACACATAAAGCCTTCTTTAAACATACGTTTGGTTTCATCAAAAGGATCCACTATTTCTCTACAAAATGACTTTTGAGAGATTCCACAAAGCTTTTCTTTCGTGGAGTTTATGGATTCCCAAACACAGCTAATCAAAATGGCAAAGAGTCCGACTCATCATTTGAACAGTTTCTTTCACATAAACCTTCTTTGGTGTTTATATAAAAAAGATAGAGCACATTCAATTACTTAAGTTGCCAAATTTGCAGGAAGATCCCACCAATGGTTTTTTCTAGATCACAGTTTGTAGTTTTTGTGAAAAAATGGCTTTTTCTTGAGCGGAGGCGCTGTTTGAATTTTCTTTTAAATGTGATTTTGTAGAGAATTAGTTAACCATTCTACTCATATCAAACGCATATTGTTTGACGAAGTCGAATAGAAGTTTTACACATTTTTTTCATTTTCGGCGCCGACTCATTCTCCCCAACCCAATAATTCAATAATTTGCATAATTTACATAAAGATTATATCGATTATTTAAAAAATTATAATAAAATGTTAAATGGTCATTCTTATTATCTAGCACAATGAATCCGTTTGACTTTTTTTCGAGGGATGAACCAACGAAAGCTGTTCAACTTTGTGAATCTTCTCGATAATAATGGTGCTTGTCCCAAAGTTGATCGTCATTATTAGTCGTACTTACAAAAAAGGTTTTATGGAAAAAGAAATCAGAAAGACTTTTTCTTTAACCTATTTATTGATCGAAGGGCTATATTGATGATACACATCAAATAGTTGACTGCTATTGGGCGCCTTTTACTCCAATCGCATAGCTGAACGTTGAAAACGAGCTTTCACAATAGAAATTTTCCTCAACAAAATAGAGTTTTGAGTCAACCTAAAGTATACCGACAAACCTGTATCATGAGATGTGATTCACAACGCGATGCTTTTCCATGCTTTTTCAACTAAAATCAACCCAAACATCTCTTGTTTTTCTCTAAAATACCGCTTTCAGCTTCACATTTGTCACAAAGTCGAGGCCACACATCAAGAAAAATGGGACTTTTATAATATATGTTTGAATGAAGACAATCCAGTACGAGAAATCGTAATCACTGTTTTCGAGTATGAGAATCGTTTGTCCCAAAGCGACTCGTAATGCATATGGAATGAGGAGTTGAATTATCGGCAACTTTTTTGTGTACTTAAAGTAGACTCCATCAAGAGATAAAACAAGGAAACGACTAAAAAAAGGTAATTCATATTGGTTGTAAGTAAACCTGTATCATAGGACTAAGAGCCGTTTTTCAGCTCTGAGTAGCTCTGAGTGCTCTGAGTTAAGAGCTCCGAGTGCTCGTTTTAATGTGGATCGTGAATTCATAAGATAAACACTAAAAAGGTAGCTCAAAAACCTTTTAGAGCGCTTTTTTTGAGCTTGATATTCTCATAGAATCTCCGAGCTTCGAGCTCGCCGAGCTTGAGAGGGGTGAACTTTGAGACATCTCAAAAGAAAGCTAATTAAATTTTCAGCAAAAACCCAAAAACCTACCATAAAGAAATTTCTTAATTTTTATTTAAAAAGACTTTGTGAAAATCACTCGAAAAATCCCCGAAATATTGGGTTGGTGAATTGAAAACTGCCGGCTATTATCATATGTGACAGTTTGAGCACTTTCTTCAAAAGAAACCCATTTTGGTGTAAATGGAAAAGTTGTAGAGAATCAAAAATGAAGCTTATATCCAAATTTCCAGAACGATTCAAAAACTGGTTTTCAAGAAATGCGAAATTTACGAATTTTCACAAAACTTACATTTTAAGCGAAACTACTAAGTGTATCTTTTTGGAAATTTGGCTGTAAGCCTAATTTTTGATTCTCTACAACTTTTCTATTGACATCAAAATGGGTTTCTTTTGAAGTGCTCAAACTGATCCTCCATTTTTGTCTCCAGTCTCCAGTTCTCCATTTTTGAGTCTCGCACACAAACCAAAATCAACCAATCCTACTATGAAAGAGGAATCCGCAAATTGCCTTTAAAATGGACAGAAGTCGTCAATAATAATGGAAATTATTTCGAATGAATTCATAGTTTCATGTTGAATAAATTTTAGTTCAAAGTTTTATTTTTCAATTCACCAACCCAATATTTACAAAAAAAGCATGTTACCATAATTGTTAGGCTTTATATAGGCAATTACAAAATTCAAATGAAAATCAAGATCAGAAAACCCAACTCATACCTCAATGAAACCAAACATTGACAATACAAAGCGATATCCGATAGCCCGTACTGTTCAATGTACCAACGAATATCGTTGAAAGAAAAGGTCACTCTTCTTGTACATCTAGATATTATTTATAATAAATGATAACGATGCATAGCAATGTGCCAGCCGGTTTTCCGTCAAAAAGGAGAGCCGGGAGCCAAAAGATTTACTCGAATCATATAGAACTTGGTCACATTTCACCGACCTCACAGGTATCCACTCGTATTGAAGACGAAGAATACATAGTTCGGCTAGAATATAGCAAGACGCTTGGATGAATTTGTTCACATTTTCGGCACATGCCAACAATCTTGAAAGCATTGGTTTAGGTTTTTTTGAGCTCATTTCTACCGAATAGGCCACGACAGTCGATCATTTTTTGCCGAAAAATAAGCGGCCAATGGAGTGGTAAAGAGACTTAAAATCATCACCTAAAAAAATCTCTTAATGCTACTTAAAAGAAAATTTTAATAGAGGTACAAAGAAATTTTGGATATTCTTTAAATAAGAGTTGAATTTTCACAGTTATAATTTTTGGTTCATTCCAATGAAAGTGAAGTTGATCTTAAAAAGCTTTTACATGCTCCTAAATAGGCTCCGATTGCGAATGGGGAGTTGAAAACGACGTAGACTGAACCGTATTGACCCGATCGTGATCCATAATTTCAGCAAATTTTGATCAATTGCTATTCAAAGTTTAGCGATTCCTTTCGGATGCTTTATTTACATTTCAAATTGTTCAAACCGATATGATTAATAGAGAGCGGCTTTTCAGCATTCCGCTATTGTAGCTAGTTCCCCAGAAATTGTTAGTCCCAGTAATTATAATCAAATTCAATGTAATTTTATTGATTTGAGCAGGTGCTGACTAAATTCGCACCGAACTGGACCGATAAAAGTGAGGCTGTCCTCAAATCTAGCACTGATTCAGCAACACATTCGATTGATCTTTCCTAATTAACAAGGGAAGGGACTGACTGAGCCGATCAAGACTATCGATCTATCCCATTCGACGCAGAATTTTATGCGTTCGTTTTCGTCAGTGTTTTCATTAATTTTCAGCAAATTTTGATCAATTGCTATTCAAAGTTTAGCGATTCCTTTCGGATGCTTTATTTACATTTCAAATTGTTCAAACCGATACGACCAATAGAGATCGGCTTTTCAGCATTCCGCTATTGTAGCTAGTTCCCCAGAAATTCTTAGTTTCAGTAATTATAATCAAATTCAAACAAATTTTATTGGTTTGAGCAGGTGCGGACTAAATTAGCTTGATCTTTCCTAATTAACAAGGGAAGGGACTGACTGAGCCGATCAAATACTATCGATCTATCCCATTCGACGCAGAATTTTATGCGTTCGTTTTCAAAGCGAACCCTCACAAGTTCGATCGCGACTTTGGGTTTTCCTTTTGCTTTTTTCAAGAATTGCTGACTAGTGTTCTTTGTGTGCGTTCCATCTGGCAAATTGCTTTTCATATATAAAGCCATAAGATAATGTTGATCAATCGTTGTCGTCAGTTCCCACATGGGACCAGCATAGCATTTGACCAGTAACCTCCCGCATAGCATTTGACCGACTCAGCCAGTTGACCTTCCCTTGTGATCATTGAAAACAAAACAAACCACAACAGTCATAGCTTGGATAACGTTCGAGATGTCATCCGGAAGATGATCGTAGCTGTTCGTGACATTGCTTTTAGACATTGTGAAATTGTCGGAACTCATATAATCATAATAATCTCCATAATATCCATCGTAATAGCTATCATTGATTGGCTGATTGAATGTATCATTGAAATTGGAATCAATGGAAGCTGTGGCATTTAGGTTGTAGATAAAGTCTGTCGATGGATCGGTTAATGTTAAATTGATAGAATTTGATGGGTCAGCAGCTTGTGAATCATCATCATATTCAATTATCGTCCATTCTTGATCATTCAGAAATTGTAAGAGAACGTAGAAGGCTAAATTGAGGGAATTTGGTTAGATTTTGAAATTTTAACAATCCGTCTTGAAGTCTTGAAGTCTTGAAAAATCGTCTTGAAGTGACGTTTTTCTAAGTGCCGCTTTTCTATAGTCAAAATGGCACTTTAGCGCACTTTTCTATTTTACTCTATAATTCGACTTCCAATTATCAGATCGACTTAAGGTTGGTTTTAAAATGATCCTCATTAAATTTGGTTATAGAAAAGTACAATTTATTTTGTATACTCAAATGTAAGAACATAAAGAAAATTGGTGTCAAAGTTAAACTGGATCAACCTGGAAAAGTTGATCAACTTAGATGGTCTATAGCTCAAGATATAGAAGTTGAATCAACTAATGATTGGTTTTAATAGAATCTTCATTAAATTTGACTATAGAAAAGTAAAATTTGCTTTGTAGACTTACCAATAAAAACAGAGAAAATTTGAGACAAAGTTAAACTACCTACCTGGAAAAGTTGATCAAATTAGATGGTCTATAACTCAAGATATAGAAGTTGAATCAACTAATGATTGGTTTTAATAGAATCTTCATTAAATTTGGTTATAGAAAAGTACAATTTATTTTGTATACTCAAGTGTAAGAACATAAAGAAAATTTGTGTCAAAGTTGAACTACCTACCTGGAAAAGTTGATCAACTTAGATGGTCTATAACTCTATCTATAAGGTATGAAAATTGAATCGACTTGTGAATCGGCTTTTAAAAGAATCTAACATTTTTTATTTGAATACTTTCAAAGGAACTCAATTCTTCGCTAATATTAAGTATATAGCTTAAACAAAACTCGAATCAAAACCGAAGAACTGTGATGGAATGCATGTTTGAATAGTGATTAATAATTAAAGCCTCTAACATCTAAAGTTCACCATTAGATTAAAAATTCTATGCTACGATTGCCTACTCCAAGCACATTAAAGTATTATCCAGTGAGTCACGGTAATATTTACATCCAAAGTTGGATGTAAAACCCAAGATAGCCTTTGAAATGTTGAGGTTAGCATTAGTTTTGAAGTTCTATTCCAAAAATAATCCCACCAATGAGACCGAAAGTGATAAAGAGCACCAAAATGAGATCCCGATATTTCTTCCAAAAAAGAGAATTTTGAATCGATCGAATGGCGAGCATTTGAAAAGTTAAATGAAAGCAAAGAATTTTTTTTGATTACAAAACGATGAGAAGCTTTTTATTTGATTTTGATAGGTGGCTAATGACCGATTATGGCCGAACAAACACCCGCAAATTGGGTTGATTAGTTGAAGAGGTGAAAAGTCAGAGGCTCTCGAGTTTTGGAGATTTGAAATTCTATGGAATTGCTAATTTTGAGTTTCTGAGTAAAGTCTTCAAAACAATTTACGTGGTTTTTTCTTTAATCTTTAAATGATCAACTCCTCATCAGCCCATTTTCGACTGCTTAAGTTCGATGATTTAAAAAAAGTGTGAAAACAAAAGCTTTCCCGTTTGGCGTAAAAGGTGTTTTGTAGAGAAAAGATAGGCTTTTCTTATCTTTGAAGCCCCTAGGATTTACTATTAAATCAGTCAGAGGCTCTCGAGTTTTGGAGATTTGAAATTCTATGGAATTGCTAATTTTGAGTTTCTGAGTAAAGTCTTCAAAACAATTTACGTGGTTTTCGCTCGCTTTTCACCAATTCGATTCGCTCTCAGCTCTCGATTTTCACAAGTTCGATCACGATTTTCGCTTCGAAAATCTATCGACAAGTGCTAAAGGCGAGGATTTTCACAATTGGCAATCGTCTGCTTTGTTTTTCCCAACCATCGTTTTTCTCATAACTATTATGTTGAATAGCATTTGAAAAATCATCTATGATATGAATAATAATTCTGAAAATTTCCATTTATTTGTGTTCCCAAAAAATAAAGAGATTGATTTGAAGCGATAAAGCCTGAGATTTTTTGAATGAATAGCTTTGAATAGCTTTTTATTCAAAAGCGCTCATGAAAATCTGAAAATCTTGCTTCACAAGTTCGATCATGATTTCGAAAATCGAAAATCGCTTCGAAAATCTATCGACAAGTGCTAAAGGCGAGGATTTTCATGAGTTTGTTCCAAAGCTGAAAACTTTGGTCAAAAAGTCTGGCAAGATCTGGCATATTCCAAAGCATCTGGCCTACCATAGGGAAGCCAGATGTGACCACGCAAACTCCTGCTCTAATGTTTGATCTTGACAGACCAGAAGTCTGGCAAGATCTGGCATATTCCAAAGCATATTCCAAAGCATATTCCAAATGAAAATGTTTTAATGTTGCTTTCATTTGGAATATGCTTTGGAATATGCCAGATCTTGCCAGACTTCTGGTCTGTCAAGATCAAACATTAGAGCAGGAGTTTTGCGTGGTCACATCTGGCTTCCCTATGGTAGGCCAGGGCCAAGTTCTGGTCTGATCTGATCTGCTTTAGCCTATTGCTGTTTTATCCCTTTTTCTTTTACTATCGTGTTTGTCGTGTTTGGATTAGTACTCTCATCTTGCGGAGAGTTTCCCACCAGAAAGGTGGCGATACCCTCAATAATGAAGCTCGATTTATGGTTATCATTAGCCTGACCCAGAGCCTTAAGGTGTCTAATTAGAAGCTGATCAAATGTAAAAGGCTTTTACATAAAACTGCTATAGCACTCCGAGCTCGCAACAAGGATAAGAAAAAGCTAACTATTTAAAAATACCCGCCATAGGATGTGCATTGACTCTATAGCTATCATGCGATCGTCGAGTAAGACTTACCGCCGAGTCCCATAGTAGTTCCCATAATTATATCGTCGCGCCATTTCGCCTCACTCGATTCTCACTAAATTGAAAGCTTTACTTAACGATTTTGCACAGAATACACGCATTGTGAGCAGATCAGAATGCTATTGAAATCGGTGTGTTCGTAAAGAAATTCCTCAAAAAATTTCTCATCAGAATCCGGGGTTCATGAAAAGTTTTGAAATCAGTGAGAAATCACGGAAACAATTTTTTTTTTGTAAACGTGAAGAAAAGAAAATCGGCAATAAAATCGCATTTCACAAGACCAAACAGTAGTTTTTTAGTTTTTTTTTACGTAAAACTGGGTCAACAAATAGAAAAAGAGCTTTCCAGGGTGTTGAAAGCTTTTTTTCAACACAAGGTAAACAAAAATGGACTTTTCTGAGTTCATTTGATGTCATTTTTTGACTCCTTTGAGTGCCGAGTATCACTACAAAAGCCTCAAATTTCTTGGAAATCGAAAAAAAATGAACATCTACAGTATACTTGTGTTGATATTTCTGATATGTTTACAAGTGTTAACGACTTTTGGACAAGTTGATGAGGTTGATGAAATGGATTCCTTTGAGGCAAATGAGTGGAGTGATGATGAAGCATTGTGGGGGTTTTTTTTCTATGAATTTTTCAGTTATAAAAATGTTTTTTTCAAAATGGAACATGATTTAAAGTGATATTACTTGTCATTGATTGTCATTCATTAAAGTGATTGTCACTTGTCATTCATTAAAGTGATTGTCACTTGTCATTCATTAAAGTGATTGTCACTTGTCATTCATTAAAGTGATTGTCACTTGTCATTCAGTGACGTAAAGAAATTGTAAATCTTAATTAATTGCATTTAAAATACGTAAATATAGTAGAGAAGAAGAAAAAGTATTTAGGCGAAAAGATTTAAGATCTTGAAAATGTTTAATGAAAGCTAAAAACAAGACAACAGTAGTTTAGGGAAGTTGACAAGTTAGGAAACGATTTTCAGTACGGCTACAATGAGATACTATTGACTACGAGTACTATTGATTACGAGTACTATTGATTACGAGTATTATTGATTACGAGTACTATTGACTACGAGTCTATTGATTACGAGTACTATTGACTACGAGTCTATTGATTACGAGTACTATTGACTACGAGTCTATTGATTACGAGTACTATTGACTACGAGTACTATTGATTACGAGTACTATTGATTACGAGTATTATTCATTACGAGTACTATTGACAATGTGTGTATTCTGTGCAAAATCGTTATGTAAAGCTTTCAATTTAGTGAGAATCGAGTGAGGCGAAATGCGCGACGATATAATTATGGGAACTACTATGGGACTCGGCGGTAAGTCTTACTCGACGATCGCATGATAGCTATAGAGTCAATGCACATCCTATGGCAGGTATTTTTAAATAGTTAGCTTTTTCTTATCCTTGTTGCGAGCTCGGAGTGCTATAGCAGTTTTATGTAAAAGCCTTTTACATCTTCTTCTACAGATTCGTCGGGAAACCATAATAAAAAGGAACATACGCGAGAAAACCTATATTTTGTTTAAAATCGACAAAACATCATTCAGACTGGATAGATTGATTTGAAAAATTGAGTGCAAACGTAATTAAACATTCTCTACGTTTTTTATTTGAACATTAAAGTAGGTTTGTTTGATGGAAATCTTTAAATGATCAACTCCTCATCAGCCCATTTTCGACCGCTTAAGTTCGATGATTTAAAAAAATTGTGAAAACAAAAGCTTTCCCGTTTGGCGTAAAAGGTGTTTTGTAGAGAAAAGATAGGCTTTTCTTATCTTTGAAGCCCCTAGGATTTACTATTAAATCAGTCAGAGGCTCTCGAGTCTTGGAGATTTGAAGTTCTATGGAATTGCTAATTTTGAGTTTCTGAGTAAAGTCTTCAAAACAATTTACGTGGTTTTCGCTCGCTTTTCACCAATTCGATTCGCTCTCAGCTCTCGATTTTCACAAGTTCGATCACGATTTTCGCTTCGAAAATCTATCGACAAGTGCTAAAGGCGAGGATTTTCACAATTGGCAATCGTCTGCTTTGTTTTTCCCAAACATCGAGCAAGTCACACAAGCACAATCAATAGGGATTTTCGTTTTTAGACTTTCTCATAACTATTATGTTGAATAGCATTTGAAAAATCATCTATGATATGAATAATAATTCTGAAAATTTCCATTTATTTGTGTTCCCAATTAAATTCAATTAAAAAGCGCTTCTTGAAAGTAAAGTGACATTTCATGTGCATTCACCCTAGATTAGCTCAAAGGATAACTCAAAAGTCTGTTAAATCAGAAATCACAGCAATCTGGCAGACTCTCAATTAAAATAAAAGCTAAAAAATCAAATACTCATCAGAAAAGTCATCATTTCTTTTCATTTTCAGAAATCGTTTCTACAACTCGAACTACGGGACGAATCGATACCGAAATCGTTACTACAATCCCCTCAACAATTACTATTACTCGAATGGGATTTATTATCCAATTGGATAAGAAAAAAAGATGATTAGATTTGGATATTAGGTTTAATTTTTAATCATTTTTTGAAAGAATCTAACCTTTACAAAATTTATTTATCATCGTTTTTCACAACTTTTTCCAGTAACTTAGTATTCAAAAATAGTTTTTAAGCCTAGCTTTCTAAAAATCAATTTTAATAGTTTTTTTTTTTTTTAAATAACATAAATAGAAAATTCTTCATTATTGAATCGATTCCCCAGAGTTTTGAGAGAGTCCAATAGTCTTGAAACCTTTAAATTATCTGTAGATGATCTTGAAGCTCTAGCGGATTCTTGTCCGTGCTACCCATATATTACATAGATTATATCATGTTGCTTTTTATCGGCCCTTTTCATGTTATGTGAATTCATGTGTTTTAATCTTAAATCTAGCGCACTTTATCTCAGGTCCTGAATAAAGTATCTATATATATGTCGTAGCCGTTTACGAAGTTTAGCTGGCTCAGGCTCAGGCTTAGGCTCAGGCTTGGACTTAGTGAGAAGGCTTAGGCTAGCCGTTCAGCGTGTTTGGACCAATTGTCCAAACAGTTTCCGTGGTGAGGGCTAATTCCGTCTAAGATTTTTAGATAAAGATAGAGATAATAATAATTATTATATAGGTCGTAGCTGTTTACGAAATCCAGCCGCTAATGAATCATTCGTTAACGGCTAGCCGTTAACGCTAGAAAAAATGAGATTTTTCGCTGGCCATTTAGCCGGCTAGCCGAATTAAAGAAGGGGACGCCAAAAAAAGGAGTTGTTGTGAAGCCGATCATAACGAAGGAGCAAAATGAACGCTGCCAAGTCGACTTAATTGATCTTCAATTGGTTCCGCATGCATTTTAGTTGATATTTTGTTTGTTATAAACGTTATTATGTTATACATGTTAAATGTTGTAAATTTTATTCCACTTTTTGTGATTAGTTTGCTGATTTGCGTTTTGCATAAATAGTTTAAAATCAAAAACTCATTTGAAACGAGCCATGTTCGCAGAAGCCGATTACAAATTGTACACGGTTAGCGAAAAAATTCATTCGTAATCGGCTAGCCATTAACGAATAATTCGTTAACGGCTGAATTTCGTAAACAGCTACGATATATATATATATATATGTTGTGTCCGATTTAGATTTCCGTCCGATTTAGATTGAACTTATCGCGGACGTCCGATTTAGATTACAGTCTATATCGGACGTCCGATTTAGACTCAATCTAAATCGGACGTCTTATATAGATTGAACAATAATATAAACATGTTTAGTATATGTTCTTAAGCGTTTTCTGTAGTTTTCTGCATTTTTCAAAGGTCTGTTATTGTCTTTTTCTGAAAAGAAAACCCAACTATGAAACAATTTATTGGCGTTAACAGAATAGATGCGAAATTACAACAACTTAGGGTTAGGGAGCCGTCTGTCATGACGTGGGTTAAGTCAAGATATAGCCTAGTATTGTGTGTGTCGTTGTATTGTGATTGATATATTTCGTGTATGCGATAAATTCACCACTGGTAGCCCCAGTCGGTATTTTTTTTTTATACAACAACAAAAAACCAACAACAACAACGAATGAGTTAAAAATTTCTATTTATTTTTGCAGCTTAGGCTATTGTGACATCTGACATCTTAAAAACACGCCAAATTCTTGGTCAAAAAGGTCCTCCATCTGTAAAAAAAGCAGCATTTAATAGGAAAACAAGAAAACAAAAAATTCTCAAAAAAAGACAATAAAATTTCTTTGAAAAGTGCAGAAAATTGCAAAAAAAACGCTTAAGAACATATATTAAGCACGTTTATTTATTGTTCGATCTGTATCGGACGTCCGATATAGACTGTAATCTAAATCGGACGTTTGCGATGAGTTCAATCTAAATCGGACGGAAATCTAAATCGGACGTCCGATTTAGATTGAACTTATCGCGGACGTCCGATTTAGATTACAGTCTATATCGGACGTCCGATCAGATCGAACAATACAAACGTGCTTAATATATGTTCTTAAGCGTTTTTTTGCAATTTTCTGCGCTTTTCAAAGAACATATGTTAAGCACGTTTATTATTGTTCGATCTGTATCGGACGTCCGATATAGACTGTAATCAATAAAAGACCTTTGAAAAATGCAGAAAACTACAGAAAACGCTTAAGAACATATATTAAGCATGTTTATATTATTGTTCAATCCATATAAGATTTAGATTGAATCTAAATCGGACGTCCGATATAGACTGTAATCTAAATCGGACGTCCGCGATAAGTTCAATCTAAATCGGACGTCCGATTTAGATTCAATCTAAATCGGACGGAAATCTAAATCGGACACAACATATATAATTCATTATCCAAAATCTAAGATTTATCTAAAAAAAATTGTTTTCAAAGGTTTTTGAAGCCAAAAGATGAACTCAAATTTGGCTAATTTTAAACAAAAAATGAGCAAAGTTCTCTTTTTTGTGGGAAGCTTTTTATTTTCTTAAACTTTTATGAACTTTTATGTTAATTTTTAATAACTTATAGTATTTTTTTACATTTGCAATACTATTTTAAATAGTTTTTAACATAAAATTTCTCTTTTTTTGTCAAAGACAAAGAAACTCACGTGTCATTTCTTTCGTCAAACAAAACAAACATTTTCAAATGAGAATAAGGAATAAAGATAACGAAGTTTTTGTGATGAAATCATTTTTTGCGATGAAAAATGAAAGCTTTGACAGAGCTTTTAGCTTTGCTTTGCGAACTTGAAAAAAGCATTTTTCAAGCTTTCAAAGAGGAGATACGGGTGATCTGTTCGAAATTTGGCGTTTCTAAATTTGTCTATGTCTATCTTTGTTTATGTCTAGCTTTGTCTATGTCTATCTTTGTCTATGTCTATCTTTGTCTATGTCTAGCTTTGTCTATATCTAGCTTTGTCTATGTCTAGCTTTGTCTATGTCGAGCTTTGTCTATATCTATCTTTGTCTATGTCTATCTTTGTCTATATCTAGCTTTGTCT